AATCGGCAATTGGGCGATCTACCCAATCTGCAAAAAAACTTGCAACCTCGGATAAAAATCATGCAAAGGGCCGTAGGTTTTCAAGTGAAATTGCAGAGCACTGCAACCAGGACACTCATGTACATGTACATGAGTAGTAACTGACAGGGCGTCTCTGCGACGCAGTTTATGGTGGTATAACAGCTAACTATAAAAAGTTGGGCTCAGTGGAAAATAAGTGAAATTTTTGGGCTCGGTAAAGCAGAAATAGAATAAACTGACGTACACTGCTATCACATAAAGTTCGGCGCTTTGCGGGAATATCCACAGCTATGTGAGGAGGGGTATTCTCGCTAGAATAAGCGTCCATATCACCAGAGAGCCGACGTTTGCTTTGTAGCGGAGTGTTTCCCATTATGAGAGAGGTCCTTGAAAGTAAAAATGTATAAATGCGATGACTTTAGCCGCAAGATTCATAAAAAAGTGCAAGGCCTACCATATCAGAGTACGAAATGAGCGGTATGGACGCGGTCAACATAACGAAAAGTTCGGTAGGATCGTAAAGTCAGAGGCTATTCTAAAGTGGAAAAAGGTCAAGCGATTATTCAGCTACCAGTTCTAACAGCATGTTCGGCACAAATGTGCAGGAGTGAGAAAAAACTCGAGATGCCAGTAACTGCATGGTGGAGATTATAAAGGAAGCCAACCCTTATCATTGGAAGAAGAAGAAGACAGGAACAGCTCATCAGTGTAGAAGAAAACTGGATATATGGGATTACGAGAGGGCTGAAATGTTGAAGCTGAACAAATAACTTACACTATGGAAAAACCGAAAACTGTTTAAAAACGAAAATGTCACGTCTGACAATATAGAAACTACAATAACGGCTTATTCCTTGCATTGTACTTTCTCGTCGAGACTTTGTTTTTCTGTCCTTCGTTGGAGTTGCCTCCATTCGCAAGCTATTTTGGTTTTTCCGTTAAGCGAATATGACGCGATCAAAAAGCTCTCCCTTATTTACATTCTTCCAGTTTTCAACTCTTTCTTGCATTTCAAGCCTACCAGGATATGCCAATATGTACGTAATAATTGGACAAAAGCACTACTCCGCCAGCAAAGACATAGACTAGATTGCCTCAGCGCCCATTCCTTATATGTCAACGTGAGTGGCACTGTGTTCTGGTCTTCTAGATTATCTATCTGAGTACTATTTAAGTTATTCGAGAAATATCTGAAC